GGGGGGGGGGGGCTTGTCAGTCAGAGGCCTGGGACTGTGGACCCGTGGGTCCTGATGGGGAGAGGATGGGGGTCCAGGATCCTAGACCCTGAAGGAGGAGGGGGCTGTGGTGCTCAACATTAGGATCCTGAAAAAGGACCTGATTCCTGGTCTCCGGGGTCTGAGGGAGGAGGGGTTCAGGGTCTGGGGCCCCTGGGTCACTGAGGGAGCCTCACCAATAGGGCTGCTGGTGGCGCCCCAGCCAGAGACGGTACATGTGGTCCCAGGGGGTTCACAGCGGGAAGGCAGGTTGACTTTCTTCACGCTGGATGACAGCCTGGCCCGCGTCCTTAGCTTCACCAGCATGAGGTCATTAACCTGGCTCTGCGTGGAGTAGCCGGGGTGGCGGAATGACATTGTGGCCCTGATCTTCTGGCCTCTTCTCAGGCATTCACTGCCCATATGCACGTTGTACTCACTGGGAGAATGGAGCAACATTCATAGCGTCACTGTGAGTGAGAGAGTGGGACAGAGACCCAGAGAGAGAAAAACAGAGATCCTGGGCGGGGATGGGGGGGAACGACAGAGGCCCAGAGAGGGGGGAGGGCAGAGACAGGGGGCGGTGGGACAGAGACTGGGGGGGGAGCAGGGACCCAGAGGGAGAGCTGGGAGTGCTCAGAGCACCCCTGTCCACATACCTCAACATGCAGTGGGCAGCAGAGAGCACCCACCACTCGTTGACCAGCACGCCTCCGCAGTGGAGCTGATTGCCGTTGAGCAGGGCCACCTGCCAGGGCTGGGCGCCTCTTGGACACCGGGTTCCATCAATAATCCTCACGGCCTCATCCGGGTCTGGATAGAGACATGGAGAAAAACATGGGTGGTAAGCCTCAGAGGAAGGCTGAGTCAGCAGCAGAGGGATTTGGAGACAGAGATGGAGACAGACAGAGAGACAGGGAGACGTGCAGAGGCAGATAATGGAGAACAGTGCAGAGAAAGCGGGAGATGGAGATGGAGGGAGACAGAGGCGGCCCACTCAGAAACCCAGGAGGAGCATCTTGTCTGTCTGGGGGTGACGACAGAAGCTGATAGGAGAGACCCTGAGTGCAGAAGACAGGGCCTGGGGGACACAGAGACCCCAGGAGTCAGAAGGAAGCAGGAAGAAAAGTGGCAGAAGAGTCTTGTCTTCTGAGGGAGAAAGCTGCTGGAGCAGAGGGAGGTCCTGACTCAGGGACCCCTTGGAGAGAGGGGCCCTTGAAGAGGATCACTGGGGATGATGGGAGGTCCAAGGGTCAGGGCAGCCCTCCCAGACTGGCTCTCACCTTCCAGTGCAGCAGATCCCAGGGCTAAGGACAGTAGTGGGATCAGCAGGGGCGGAAGAAGGAATCCTGCCATGGTGGCTTCTCAGAGTCTCTCAGGGGCTGCCAGGCAGAGGAGGGGTCTCTTTTGCTGGGGCTGAGAAGGACAGAGTTCAGGAAGCAGGAGTCCTGGCCTCCAGCCCCCTCCTCCTTCAGACCCAGGAGTCCTTCCCCTTGGGACCCAGGAATCTGGGCTCCCATCTCTCGCCATCCATAAGTCTGTATCCCTAGTTCCTTTTCCCCTAAGAGACCAAAAATTCCAGACCTCCAGCCCCTCATCTGTCAGAGCCAGGCGTCCAGGCTTCCCACTGCCCCCTCCCCTCAGGAACAGGAGTCAGCTGTCCAGCCAGCCTCACTGCCCCCCCCCCACAACCCCCCGGCAAATGAGGCCCCTTCTCACCTCCGGAGGGCCTGATCCGACGTGGGGCACAGACTCGGTTGGGAGTCAAGTGTCTCCAGACCTGCCCAGGGCGGCAGTCTTATACCACGTCCAGCTCCCTCCTCCGCCCCTGCCCTCAGCGCCCCGAGATGCAGGTGGGAAAGGCTCTGAGACACCCTCTTCCTGTGCATCTGGTTATCTCCAACCCCTGAGGCAGCTAAATCACTTGGCAGCACTCTACTTTTTCCACCCTCCCGCCCCTGCACATTCTGGGCCCAGCATCCCCGGTGGCCCCTACAGGGGCGGGAGCCACAGGTGTTCTGGCTTCGAGGGGCAGATTCAAGGAGCTGCTGAGCTCAGGAAAGACGATTTGGCTTGGGTCCTCCTTTGGGGCCACTTCCTTGCCCCAATCCCCTCTCAGGGATGACCTAGAGCCCATACCGTAATTCTGACGAGCTTGTGATAATTTGTTCAGGCTGGAACCCGGTCATGTCTTTAGAACCTAATATAGGGTATGAATGAAAGAGAAAACGCTTTCCCTAACTCCACCCTGATAAATGCTTACTGTTATCAATGTAGTCTGTGTTCTCCTGTTATACAGAGATTTCTATACATATTATGTATTTATAACAAAAACGTCTGTACTAAACATTATCTAATATAACCTTTTTCTTTATAAATTACCTTGAACAATTTTTCCTCCTAGTATATTTATCTATTTAAAAAAATTCTGGAAATATTTATTTATTTGGTTGTGCTGGGTCTTAGTTGTGGCAGGCAGGCTCCTTATTTGTGGCGTGTGAACTTTTAGTTGCGGCATGCGTGTGGGATCTAGTTCCCTGACCAGGGATCAAACCCGGGCCCCCTACACTGGAAGCTCAGAGTAGCCACCAGGGAAGTCCCTCCTCTTAGTGTGTTTAAATGGGTCTCCTTCCTTCTTAATGGTTGCGTAACATTCCATACTATAGTTGTACCCTGACTTATGTAATCTGTTTCAAACTGGAGTATTTTTGGATAGTTCTAATTATAATAATGCTGGGTTGTACATTCCTTGTACATTCATCTTCGCTAATCGTGTTCACTCAAGCAATATTTACCTAGCATATATTCTGTGCCAGCAGTTATTCTGGTTCCTGGGGACACTGTGGTCAGCAAAGCAAACAAAAATTTCTTCATACAGCCTCTTGTTCTAGTGGGTGGAGACGGTGAATACAAAAATAAATATATAAAATATATAGTTTGTTGGATGTTGGTAAGTACTACAGAGAAAAATAAAAGCAGGGAAGAGGGTATTTAAATCAATGCCACCATTCAGCCATTTAACAATCATTTAATAAATATATTTTATAATTCCTATGTGCCTGCAACTTACTATTATGCATCAGAGGGTCAAAAAACATCTTTGTCACACCACAAGACTGTATGAGAAAGTAACAGACCTGTATTTATTTCAGAGTCACCTTGCAACTAATAATGAGCAGAAAGTAGAACTCTATTCGCAGAATATTTTCAAGGTAAACCAAGCAGTCACCCGTGATTATTTTTCACATCTAATATTTTAGGCAGTATCGACTTGCTTTGTTGCAGTTTGTGCTTTTTCAGAGCAAAAGCTCTGCATTAAAAATACAAGACTGAGAGAAATGTGCATTGAAAAGGAAAAAGGAGAGACGTCATGTGGAGAACCTGGGAACAAGAAAGAATATCATGGGGATTGTCTGAGTCATCGTGTACCTTCAAAAGCTGAGTGATAGGTTTAGAGTTGCTCCTGGCTTCTTAATTATCTGGGCACTGTTCTAAACCAAGGATAGTTTACTGTATTCTATAAATAAAGTTTTAAAAAAGAGCAGGGATGAGGGATAGGGAGTTATTGGTTTCCTCCACTCTCGGGGACCCCTGGGATTATAATATTAGGAAGGTTCCACATGAACATGACATTTGAACAAAATCCTAAAGGAGATGGTGGATTGATCCATGTAGCTACTTGGGGGTAGCGAGTCCTAGGCAGAGAAAATGGGCAGATAAGTTAGGCAAGAGGCATGCTTAGAATGTTCTAATGAGCAGGGGGACAAGGGCAGGTAATGAGGTCAGAGAGATAATAGGACTAGGATGACATAGGACCTTAAAGATCAGTGTAGGACTTTGGTGTTTACCTTGAGTGAGATGGGAACCATTATACTTGAAGGCAAGTTCCTAAAAGCGGAATTGACCCCAGCTTCTAAATCAGACCCCCAGAACGTGATTTGTCCCTCAGTCCTGAGCCCAAATCTTACCTCAATCCTGACCCCTAGCCCAACTCTATTTTTGTCCCATAGTTTGGCCCATAACAGACATTATTGTTGCCTACTCAAACATTCATTCCTTCTGTCTTTCTGTCAGAGCCCCAATTTTGTTTGGATAATCTTTTATCCTCATCATGATTGTAAACTTTACTGCACCAAGCAGAAAAGCCATTTCTGCCTGCCAGGGATTGGTTTAGAAATGAACATGTGATGCATGTGATGCATGCTTTCTTATTTCCAAAAAAAAAAAGACCAGAAGAATTCTCTTTTCTCCTTCATCAAGATGCTGCCCCTTCTGGATGTGAACTCTGGAATGGTGGAAGCCTTCCTGGGACTGGGGAGAGAAGTGGCTGGTGGACCAAGCCAGAACACCGCAGATGGTCAAGTAGAGTGATGGCGTGACATAACAAGATTTGTGTTTTCTGGCTGCTATATGAAGGGGATTTTAAGGGGATGTGGAGACATGAGGAAACTATTGTTATTGTTCAGATGAGAGATGATGACTTGGGTAAAGCCACTGGAGAGGTGAAGATGGTAATAAGTGGATGGATTCACGATGCATTTAGGATAATCGACAGGGCTTGGTGATGGATTGAATGGAAGTTGTGGTGAGGGAGACAGATGTTAAGGCTTCAAGGTCTCTTGCTTGACGGATGGTGGTACCCATTCATTGAGAAGACGTAGCTGGATATGATCAAGTGCCTATGGGAGGGTGAAAAAGACCTCCCTCTTTTTTAACAGAATGCTGAGGATGCAGGGGTCTGAAGAGAGAATCCAGGGACTTCATGCATAATTCTAACTCCAACCCTTACTTTGACACAATTCTCAACACCAATCGTTTTTTTTTAATAACACAATTTAATAATACAATTATTTTATTATAAGCCTGAATATCACATGACACATATTCCAAAACTAAACAATGTTGTATGGGAAACAGAATAAACAAGCATACTGAAAGATGGTAGTCTATCTTCTCATCCACCCCTAACGTTGATAAAGGATACAGTCAAATTATAGAAATTTAAAAAGGTAGCACATAGGTTTCACTCTGAATTCTGACCAAGCTTGGTGTCTGATGCTAGAAGACACATATACTAAAGGCTCAACACCAATACTGATGGAAGCCTGAGTTTTAACCCGAAACCTTAAGTCCTACCCAACCCTAACCCTCAATTCTGCTATATCCTTGACCAATTCTAAACTTTTACCTCAACTTGGAATCTAGTTCCTGACCAAGTTCCTGCCTCCAAATATCAACTCAGGCTAGATTCCACCCCTCCATCAACCTTAACCCTGACTCTTGACTCAAACCCTGGATCCCTAACCATAACCCAAACTCAACCTTGACCCAAACACTGAATGTCCCAAACCTGACCACATGCACCAATCACACCAATCCCAACACTCTGACTCCAGTCCCGGCCCTACTCTCATCTACAGCCCAATTTCTACATGAAATCCCATCCCATTTCCATGCCAAACTCTTTCC